CAAGGGGAAATGAGGGAATGTTATAATATTGGACATGTTGTTATAACCCGACAATAAAATGTTTAAAAAAAAAAAAAAAGGAAGGCCGAGCGCCGAAGAATAGATTCTTTTGAACTATGGTGCTGGAGAAGACTCTTGAGAGTCCCTTGGACTGCAAGGAGATCCAATCAGTCAATCCTAAAAGAAATCAACCCTGACTGTTCCCTGGAAGGGCAGATAATGAAACTGAAGCTCAAATACTTTGGCCACCAAATGAGAAGGGAGCACTCACTGGAGAAGAAGACCCTGATGCTGGGAAAGACTGAAGGTCAAAGAAGACGGCAACGGCAAAGGATGAGATGGTTGGACAGTGTCAGTGACGCAACGAACATGAAATTGAGCCAACTTCAGAGGACAGCGGAAGACAGGAGGGCCTGGCGGGAGCTGGTCCATGGGGTCGCGAAGAGTCGGACTCGACTGTGCAACTGAACAACAACAAAAGTGTTACCCCAAATCTCATCATGTTATATGTTAATTTGCTGTTCATTCTCTGGCTATACGTTTGAAGCTTAACTGCCATTCCGATGTATTTGGGAAAGCGTGCCTTGCACACGAATGCTCATCCCTTGAATGAACCTCTGTTGGCCTTAAAGGTGCCACCGGACTCTACATTTGCTCTACTGCTTCAGACCAGCACGGCTGACCCCCTGGATCTACCTCCTCCACCAGGTTTCCCTGAAGCTGGCTCCAGAAAGCAACTTTGCTATGGTTGTGCACACAAGGACCGCGGGGAGGACAAGCCTCAAAGTGACGGTGCAGACTCTGCACGCAAACACCAGGCAGTTCGAGGGGAACCTCGCTGAGCTCTCGGACGAAGTGCAAGTGCTGGTAAGGCTTCTCCAAGCAGAACCTTTGCTAGTTCACCACAGCCATACCCTGCTGTGCCTCCAAGGGGCTGAAGGAATCAAGCACGGGGGTTCATTTTACCATCATTACAACCCAGCGAGGGAGTTTAGGATGAGTGGCTGTTGCCACTGAGAAGGGAATTCAATCCATATGTCCTTCTAGCCCTGTGATTTCACCACACTTGGCCCACATTTTAGAAGATGGTACTAACCTGGGAGAACCGGGTTTGATTCCCCACACTTCCACATGCAGGTGCTGGTGTGACCTCGGATCAGTCACAAGTTCTCTCAAGGGCAGTCCTCGAAAGAGCTCTCTCAGCCCCACCTGCATCACAGGGTGTCTGTTGTGGGGAGGGGAAGGGAAAGGAGACTGTAAGCTGCTCTGAGACTCTCTTGGGTAGTGAAGGGCGGGATATAAATCCAATCTCCTCCTCCTCCTCCTCCTCCTCCTCCTACTACTACTACTACTACTACCACCACTACCACCACCACTACAAGGCTTCACATTGTTCCACATAATCCTGAACCACAGTCCTGTTTTTCCTCCCTTACCTGCTTGAGCAGAGGACCACATTGTTGTGTTCTCAGCAGTGAACAACACTAAATATATGCTTAGTAGTTTTTTTTAAATCACCTTTAAAAAAATGAACCTCGGCCTCTGTGCCCTGTTGTTGGCCGTCCAGAGGAACTGGTAGGCCACTGTGTGAGACAGGATGCTGGACTAGAGGGACCCTCACTGGTCTGATCCAGCAGGGCTCTTCTGATGTTCTTATGAGGGGAAGGCCTCGGCCTCTCTGCCCTGTAGTTGGCCCTCCAGAGGAACTGGTTGAGGCCACTGTGTGAGGCAGGATGCTGGACTAGAGGGACCCCCACTGGTCTGATCCAGCAGGGCTCTTCTGATGTTCTTATGAGGGGAAGGCCTCGGCCTCTCTGCCCTGTAGTTGGCCCTCCAGAGGAACTGGTTGAGGCCACTGTGTGAGGCAGGATGCTGGACTAGAGGGACCCCCACTGGTCTGATCCAGCAGGGCTCTTCTGATGTTCTTATGAGGGGAAGGCCTCGGCCTCTCTGCCCTGTAGTTGGCCCTCCAGAGGAACTGGTTGAGGCCACTGTGTGAGGCAGGATGCTGGACTAGAGGGACCCCCACTGGTCTGATCCAGCAGGGCTCTTCTGATGTTCTTATGAGGGGAAGGCCTCGGCCTCTCTGCCCTGTAGTTGGCCCTCCAGAGGAACTGGTTGAGGCCACTGTGTGAGGCAGGATGCTGGACTAGAGGGACCCCCACTGGTCTGATCCAGCAGGGCTCTTGTTATGTTCTTATGAACCTCTTGCATGGGTGGAAGCGCCATTGGTGGAAGAAGCAGGTGAGGGGACTTTGCCTGCTCCCCTTTTCTTTGCTTTGTGGCTTTTTTGCTAATAGATCACACACACACCCAGCCAGTTTGCCACTCACAGGGGACTGCTGGGGAAGGCCGGAAAGGTCTGCCTCTGCCAGCACCTTCTCTGGCGGTGCATAGGCTCTAACCCATTGTAGGATCTGACCCATTGTCCTGGTGTTGATTTTTTTTGTTATCCATTAAAAGCAAAAAGGATATCTCTCTGCACCCCTTACAAATGCTTAAGATTAATATAGTAGGATGACAAGAATGGAAAAGGAGCAGTTAAAGATAACAGAGCTCCTGTAATTTTAACAGTTGCTTAGAAGAGAGGATGTTGGTAGATGCAGCTTCTCTGGCAGTGGTGAGAAAAACGACCCCTTTCCAGTGGAACTGTTAGACAAAGGAGTCTTACTGCCCTCCTTTGCACTGGGGTCACCTAAGCAATTAATGTGAAAATGGGGGGGGGGGGTTGTTCCTGCCCTTTCCTCTGTCCTTACAGGTGTTTGACAAGCTTCAGCTTCTCTCCCCAGAGTGCCCCACAGAACAGATTCTGATGTCCATGAATTCAGAGCTCAGGCTGCTCTCTAACAGGTACTGGAGTAGATACGGGTGGGGCAGGGGAGGGAGGAGGGCAAAGATCAGAAAGAACAAGGCTGCGTTTTCACCCAAGATGCTGCGGGGCAGAAAAAACTAGCTTGCAGTAAAGAGTCTCATTTTCCCCTCTGAACAGTTATGACTGATGTGAAGGAACAGACTTGTAAACCTTCCCTATTCTTCTAAATTGCTCTCCGGGAGGTCAGAACAAGTCGTGTGGCTAACCAGAGTCTCCACTCAGCAGTGGTGCTCCCTTCCCTTGCTCCTCAGGGTTGCCAAAAACAAACTGAGTAACAACTGCTGCCAACAGTGACTCTGAGAGTATCTCCAGCTAAACAGTGTTGCACATCTAACACTCTAGCTGTGTTGCCATTTAGAGTTGCCACACTTCCCACTTCACTCCTACAAACTAGTACAGGGGAAATCTATCACAGCTTCACAATTTCAAGCTATCACATTTCAGGGATAGCAAGCTTACCCTCTTCCCCTCCCCATACCTCACTACAGATAGCAAGACCATAGGTGTAGTGTATTTCCAGAGATAAGACTTACTGCATTCAAAATATAACAGCGTTGAATAAATGAATAAAAAGAATACACATGGTCTGTTCAAGCATTCAAGCTGAGCAAGGGCACAAAGAAAAGGTGAAAACATTTTCCCCACACTCAAACCAATCTTCATGGCTTATGCTGATCCACGGAACAGAGAAAGATGGAAGAGAGGAATTTCGTTGTGGTCTCTGTGCAATCCCACACATGGGTTGGGCGCCTGTGCACAACCTCAACCAGAGAAACTTCTAGAGCTTTGCCTCAGAAAGCTTTTGGCGGGCTCTCAACTCTAAATGGCAACACAGCTAGAGTGCTAGATGTGCAACACTGTTTAGCAGGAGATACTCTCAGAGTCACTGTTGGCAGCAGTTGTTACTCAGTTTGTTTTTGGCAACCCTGAGGAGCAAGGGAAGGGAGCACCATTGCACAGATGACCACTCAAAGATCATCAGTTACAGGTAAGCAACCTGTTTTTCTTCTCTGGGTCCTGAAAATTTATAATCTCCCCTTGGGAGAGTTCCCCCGACCCAGGGTCATTCAGCCTTTCCTGCTTCAAGAGGCAGGGTCTAGCCACTTGGCTCTTAGCGGTCTCCGTCCCTTTAGGCGCAACATTCCAGCAAGGTGTGACATGGGAAACCATTGTCCTACTTCAGTCAAGGACAGTAGCTTATGTAAGTCCTAAAGTACTCTGCGCCTGGAACTTGATAGTTCAGTTCCCCTGATCTTGGTTCATTTCTGCCCCCCCCCCAACTGCTGTCTGAAATTACTTTGGACCTTTGGGAGATCCAGTCACTGATTCACAGATTTTAAGAGAGGCGTTTGACCAGCTGTCTCTCCACTGCCATGTTTCCCCCCCCCTCCGTGTTTTAAAATTTTCTTTGTCATTCAGGCTGGCTAGCTTTTTCACAAGAATTATCTGTTGCTGACTGCTTCCTGGCATGCTCCCTGCATTCTGCTACCACCGTTTCACGGTCTGTGTCTGTGACACTTTAATGATTATTTCTATGCCAACCTGAGCAGAGAGGAATGGCAGGGTATAATTATTATTTTGATAAAATAAATAAATAAAACCATCTCAACTGTTCATCCTTGCAGGGACTGCTCGATAAGCAGCCCTGCCTCCTAACTGGGCCGTCTGCTGGTTTATTCAAAAACCAAAATATGTAACAAGCTCAGAGCATGGAGACACTCGATTGCTTGAGCATAGCAGTAGAAAAGAGCAAGAGTCCAGTAGCATCTTAAAGAATAACAAAATTTGTGGCAGGGGATGAGCTTTTGTGAGTCACTGTATCTGAAGAAGTGAGCAGTGACTCACGAAAGCTCCTACCCTGCCACAAATCTTGTTAGTCTTTAAGGTGCTACTGGACTCTTGCTCTTTTCTACTGATACAGTGTATAGAAATATTGATTTCTAAAAGTCTCATGCCTTCTCCTGTGATGTCTTTTGATAACATGCTGTGTCTTATTTCCTCTCAAGCCAAATGGCCTATCCATTTGCCCAGAGAAACTTTATAACCATGCCATATAACCACACATTCTTTCACACCTCTAAGGAAAGAGGCAGACCTGATGGCTCCTGGCTCTGCCTCACATTCAACAAGTCACATAGGCGATGGAGAAGCTAGAAGCTGGGTCACCTGACTGCAGGAGGAGTTCCCAAACTTCTAGCCTATCCCCACACATAGCTGTGACAACCAACAGTTGGGCACATCCCCTGTCCACTCGTGATTGGCTGCATGGCCACAGCTAATCATGACTAGATGGGGGTATAATTGTTTGATCCCAATGAGAGAGAGTCTCTTGCTCTCTGCTCCTGTTCTCTCTGCTTGTTTTATTGCAGCTGAAATGCAGCCCTTGAGGGACAAAGGGTGGCTTTGTGAACTGGATGCATGCTTGCACAAGATGGGATTCCTACTCAAAATCCCTTGGTGCTAACTGGATTATCACAATGGACAATCTTGAACTCTTGGATGATATCCTGACTTGGTAACTATGAATCATTAATGTTTACTTAAGGCAAACAGCCCTACCCTTTATTATTTCTGTAATCTTTTATAGTCTGTCTGCAATGCTCTGTACTGAATAAAAATTATTCTTTTTTTTCTAAATGGTCTCTGGTGTTGTACCTGAGTTCCAAGTCTAAATCTGGTGGCTAACCCTAACCACATATGCTACCTCGGTAAGAGTGTGCATCTCTAAGTGAGTTGCTAATGTGTTTCGTCCCAGGTGCCAACTAAGGGTTTGGAATCTCTCCCTTAGGAAAGGCAGGGACTAGTGAAAAGAGGTTCTGGTGGCACATTGTTCTGAAACCAGAGAGGGTTTACACGATCTCGTGGTTTGTTGTTTAATGTACTGTAAAAGTACAGGGTTCCCTCCCATTCCTGGACTGGCTTGGGTGGGTGATACCTGTACATACAGACGGACTAACACAGCTACCCATCTTGATCTATCTCCATGGAAGGCACCACATTTAGCCGTACAGAATGGAAATCCATCAACCTTGTGAGGTATCTGAAGAAGTGAGCAGTGACTCATGAAAGCTCCCACCCTGCCACAAAGCTTGTTAGTCTTTAAGGTGCTATTGCTCTTTTCTATTGCTACAGACAGACTAACATGGCTTCCCATCTTGATCTCTCTGAAGAAGTGAGCCGTGACTCACAAAAGCTCCTCCCCTGCCACCGATTTAGTTAGTCTTGAAGGTGCTGCTGGACTCTCGCTCTTTTCTACTGATACAGACAGACGCACACGGCGACCCACCTTGTTCTGCTTCCTTGAGTGTTAGTCAGTGGAAAGTCCCAGGACTTTCAGCATCCCATGGTGCGGTCCATGTTAGTATACAACACATGGCTTACCTCCCCAACATGGGCCATCAGGTAAATTGCTCCAGCTGCCCCAGTTCATACCAGGGGGGGCTCACGCTCACTCTTTTTTCCTTCCCTAATTCAGGGACGGGGCAGCCTTTGTGAGCTCCCAGCTCCTGCAGTGCTACCCCAACTCCTCCGTCATCGAGGAGGACCGGCACGGCCTCATCAAAGCAGGAGCTGTCACAGGGACTGCCGTGCTGGAGCTGACCTCCTTGGAACCTTTCGGAGTCAACCAGACGGTCATCACCGGAGTGCGGGTAAGGACAGTGTGTGTGTGTGGTCAATAGTAGCATGGTTAAAGTGTTGGAGACCCCGATTAAAATCCCCACTCTGCCACAGAAAGCTCGCTGGGTGACTTTGGGCCCAGTCATACATACTCAGCCTACCCTACCTCACAAGGTTGTTGGGTAGATAACACAGAGGAGAAGAGAAGGATGTAAAGTATTTGGGGTGCCCATTGGGGAGAAGGGCAGGGGTATAAACAAGTAAGTAAATCTTGGTCATGGTTGTTGTAGGGCTCTTTAGCTTGGAGAAACGACGACTGAGGGGTGACATGATTGAGGTTTATAAGATTATGCATGGGATAGAGCAGGTAGAGAAAGAGGTACTTTTCTCCCTTTCTCACAATACAAGAACTTGTGGGCATTCAATGAAATTGCTGAGCGGTCGGGTTAGAACAGATAAAAGGAAGTACTTCTTCACCCAAAGAGTGATTAACACATGGAATTCACTGCCACAGGAGGGGGTGGTGGCTACAAGCATGGACAGCTTCAAAAGGGAATTAGATAAGTATATGGAGCAGAGGTCCATCAGTGGCTATTAGCCACGAGGTATAGATAGGGGCTCTGGGGCAAGTGATGCTCTGTCTTTTTGGTGCTTGGGGGGGTGTGTGACAGTGGGAGGGCTTCTAGTGTCCTGGCCCCACGGGTAGACCTCCTGATGGCACCTGGTATTTTTGGCCACTGTGTGACCCAGAGTGTTGGACTGGATGGGCTTTTGGCCTGATCCAACATTGGCTTCTCTTATGTTCTTATGTTGCTGTTTTTTTAAATGAGGCCACTCTGAGGCCTTTTTTTAATTATTTCTTTAAATATGTGTGTGCGCATGCGTGTGAGTGTGTGTGTACCTGGAAGTCATGGCGACCTCTGGTGGCTGACCCCTACTGGAGGCCTGGAGGTTATTCAGAGAGGTGGCTGAATAAAGCCTGACCCCGCCTCCCGACTGCTGCCCCCCCTTACTTTCAATGCACCTGGGCCCCCCTTACTTTCAATCTTTAGGAGGCAGTTAAACAGTTTTATGGAGTCCAAGGCTGAACCCCGTGGGTCCCCAGGGCAGATGTACACAAGTAACCAGACTACTGGTGGACCTCCTGATGGCACTGGTATTTCTGGCCACTGTGGGATACAGAGTGTTGGACTGGATGGGCCTTTGGCCTGATCCAACATTGGCATCTCTTATGTTCTTATGTTCTTATTGTTAATTCTTTTTTTTTTAAATTTCCCTCTCCTAAAATGGAGAGAAGTTTTGCTTTTACAATTCAGAAAGTTAGGAAGGGTATATAGAGGGATAAAGAAAAGTGTTGAGTGATGTTAAATATTAGTATGTTAATCCTTTAAAATTAAAGTTAAAGTCAATAGCTTCTTCCGTTGTTGGACGATTCTCTTTTCATCTCTCTTGTTCAAAACCAGGTCAACATGTTAGTAATGTCCTTTTGGGATTAGTATTACTTTTAAAGCATTATCCGAAATAGTCTTTAAACTTTGGGGTGTTTCCCTTTTTTGTCCCTCAAGTTATACTTTATGCCAGTCGCTCCTTTGACTTTCTCCTCCTTCACCTCTCCCTCCGAGCTGCTGTCATCTCCGCTGGCTCCTGACATCCACTTGGCAAGTTCTGCTTCTTCTTCTGTACTGGCGTGCCTCTTCAAAAAGTCTTGAGCCTTGAAGATAGAATCTATCTTTTCTCTTCTGTCTTTAAATTTAAAGACCAGTCCTTCGGGCACCAACCACCTGTAACTGATTTGGTGATTTTGTAAGAAAATGGTCAGTCCTTTATATTCCTTTCTTTTCATTCTGATTTCAAATGGAACATCTTTCAAGATCCTGATCGTTTGATCTCCAATTTTCAAGGGTGTTGCTGAGACTGCTTTTAAAATCTGATCTCAGAGACGTTACTTTGTAAATTTCACCACCACTTCCGCCGGCAACTTATTTTTCTTTGTAAAGTTGGAATAGGCTCGATAAGCCAAATCCATCTCTTCTTTTATTTTTTCCGCTTCATTGCCAGTCAGTGGTGCTAGAGCTGTTGCCAAAATGTCTCTGAGGTCCTCCTTTTCCTCTTCCTTCAACCCTTGGAATCGAAGCTAATTATTCCACTTCTATCTCTGGCCTTGAAGATGATAAGAATTGTGCAGGCCAAGAGACCAATTAGTAACAGCTGTAGAATAGACCAGGCCCCTTACTATTCACAGGAACCCTTGAGTGGAAGGCCAGGGGAGCTTTGCCTCACACATTGCATTTGGTTAAGTTTAGTAGTGGTCCCGAGTAGTGATTTTAAATCTCAGTTTTATGTTTTCAATGTATTTTGTTCTACGTATTTCATCTACGTTTGTAAGCCGCTGTGAACTCCGTAAGGAAGAAAAACAGCTGGTAAGTGTTCTAATTAAATCAATAAAATAAAAATAATCCTTGTGAAGATTTCACAGCGCTGCTCACTGCAAAACGGTGGGACACTTACCACAGAGAATAGTATTGCTGGATTTGTAGAGGCGCTCTCTATCTGTAATCTTCCACAATGTCCTGGGGACGCCTTTGTGTACCTAAACTTGGTAGATTTCTGCTGCCACCAGGAATTAAAAATTCCAGATCTCTCTCTCTGCTGGTAGAATGACCTAGGGTCTGTGCATTTCAGAGGACTATGTGGTCCTGAGGAAGTACTGTACTGATTTTGGGATAAGTTTAAACAAAAATTGATTTATTTAATAAAGAGCAAAATAGGTTTCTGGTTATTTTGAACAGTTACTGAAGAAAGGAACTTGTAAATATAACTGACAAAGCTTGGTGCCACAAACAGTGCCAAACTTCACTCAGTATACTCTTTCATATATATATCCACCCAGGCTAGTCTCTTTGTTTTATTCACACTGAATGGAATCAACTCTATTAGTCACACAGACTAAACTGTTGGTCTTATTCACACAGAATTAGACTCAAAATTCCATAGTCACACAGACCATGTTCTCTCTTCAAACTTTACACACAGAATCCTCTCAGAACATCTCCTCCCACACTCTCAGTCAGCAGCCAATTTAATCACACTCATCTCCCCCTGTCGCTCTTACATTACTGCAGTCAAACTCAACATTTAAAGGAACACACACACCAAAACATGGAATCATTACAGCCTATGTAGCAGTCGAGCCATGCAACTGAACAGCATCTGTCTGATATAGAAATTAAGACATCCTTTCCTTTCCAGGTGGCCCCGGTGTCCTACCTGCGGCTCAGCAGCTTTCCCAAGCTCTACACGGTCAGCAGAATGCCCCTGCGCGCCTTTCCCTTGGGCATGACCCTTACCTTCACGGTTCAGTTCTACGACAGCACTGGGGAGAAATTCCACACGCAGAACACTCAGCTTTACCTTGCCTTGAACAGGTACGGTCCTGGAAAGACACACCGGACACAGAGGCGGGGTGATATTTGGGGAGCATGATTTAATTTCAGGGCCACCACTCCACAGGCTGTGGGGAAGCTGCCTCCTGGGTTTGGTAGCTCTGGAGTGTTGGCCGGCCACAGCTTTGAAGGGTCCGTGCATGCAAATAAACGGTCTCCAGCAAGAATCTCCAACCAGTCATCAGTTACAAGCGACCAGCAGCTACCGGGCTCCTGAAGAGTAGTTCTCAACCCAGGTTGTGCAGCCAAGGAGGATCAGAATGCCGATGCCCAGCTGGGTGTCTGCATCCTGGCCATGACTTGCCAGCCTGCCCAGGCCCTTTCTCACCCAGTTAGAGACACCCGAGAGATTTCCTGGGTGCGTACGTGAGGGAGGAATCAGAACATCAACTCCCACCTGGCTCTTTCTGGGTTCCATCCTCTGTGACTGCTAAGGTGCTCCGTTTCATCCCAGGTTCTCCTTTGCATCACAAATCCAGGCCCTTGGGGTCCAAAGGAGAAATTTCGGGGGGGGGGGGAGTACTTTTTTTTTCGGGATATTTTTTTCATTTTGCAGAAGTAGCTCTTGTTAAAGAAACAGTTGGGAACCCCTGATCCTCAGGTATGGTTTCATGGCTTGGATCCTACAATTCTGTTTCACTGGTAGCAGAGCTTTCCTGCTGGTCGAGATTTTTTAAAAAATACTTTCCTTCACAAAAACAGAGAAGAAGAACAAAAGGAAAAAGGTTAAAATCCAGCAACTAAGATTTTAAAAAATAAGTTTAAAAAAGCATAAATATAAGACAAAAATATAACAGTGGTGGTGAATCTACACATAAGTTTCTATAAACAGTTTCCAAATATCTAAAAATAGGTCCATATTCCCTGACCTGGGTAGTCCAGGCAAGCCAGATCTTGTCAGATCTCGGAAGCTAAGCAGGGTCGACTCTGGCAAGATCTTCTTCGTGGTCTCTGTGCTTCACACCAATGGGTTTAGTGCGCCTGCGCTGACCCAACCGGTGCTGTAGCAAGCTATGTTTCAAAGGATTTTCGCGCGAGTCCCACTGAGCATGCGCAGGAACCCCAGCGCGCATGCCCAGAGGGGACGGGCGCGGAGATCCCGCCAGTTCTCTCTCTACCGCCGCGTTGAAAGGACCTTTTTGCCTTTCCTCCTGACCGGATAGCTGTTACTGCCTTCGGGCCTTTACCTTATTTCTTGTTTCTTAGGATCATCCTTTATTTACCAGCGCGCATGCCCAGAGGGGACGGGCGCGGAGATCCCGCCAGTTCTCTCTCTACCGCCGCGTTGAAAGGACCTTTTTGCCTTTCCTCCTGACCGGATAGCTGTTACTGCCTTCGGGCCTTTACCTTATTTCTTGTTTCTTAGGATCATCCTTTATTT